CATTACACCATTTACAAACTGCAGAAAGAAACATGTTATGTCATTACATATTTTGAAGTTGAGCTTCATCTTCATTCTTCCTAGATCTATATATATATATATGTATATATATATATATATACTTGATCTATATACACATATATACTTGATTAGAAAGAATGACAAATGGAGATATCACACCAAAAAGGGAGAATCAATCAAAGAGGAGAAAGCATCTTGTTGGGGAGAATGCTCCTCTGTTGCCTACAACATTGGAAGGTAATGAGTTTGATGGAGCTTCGTTTACTGGGTCGGTGTTTAATTTATCAACCACCGTCGTCGGTGCTGGAATCATGGCTTTGCCCGCCACCGTCAAAGTTCTGGGTCTTCTTCTTGGCATTTTCATGATCATCTTTATGGCATTCTTCACTTACGCATCCGTTGAGTTGCTGGTTCGGTTTAGCAGGGCTGCAAAAGCAGTTTCTTATGGAGGTGTTATGGGGGATGGTTTTGGCAAGCCCGGAAGGATTTTGCTGCAACTCTGTATTTTACTTAACAACTTTGGTGGGCTCATTGCTTACGTGATTATTATTGGTATAATTGTAATTTCCCCTTTTACCTTCTCTTCGATTATATATGTGATTGCATTGATTATATTTCGAGAACTGCTTAATGCTTTTGGATTGAATTAAGGTGATGTGCTCTCTGGAACATCTTCTGGTGGAATTCATCATGCTGGTGTACTTGAAGGTTGGTTTGGACAACATTGGTGGACTGGGCGAACTTTTGTTCTCTTAGTGACAACACTTGGCATATTCACTCCATTAGCATTTGTTAAGCGGATTGGTTAGTTTTTTTGCCTGTTTCAAAGTCTGCTATTTGATCCTTTCTGATAAATGAATTAGAGCTTTACAGTGTTTTTAGTTTCATTGATGTTTCTGCTTACGCTATGCTTTTTTGTTTAGCCAAATTGGTTTAGGCTTTTTTTTTTATGGGTTCATCAGCTATGGTTTATTGTTGCTGTTGCAGATTCTTTAAGATTTACATCTGCATTATCGTTTATGTTGGCGGGTGTTTTTATTGCTGTCACCGTAGGAATTGCAGTTCTGAAATTGATAAATGGGAGTATAATGATGCCTAGACTGCTACCTAATGTCACTGATTTTGAGTCATTCTGGAAACTCTTCACTGTTGTTCCCATGCTAGTCACTGCTTACATTTGCCACTACAATGGTATGCACACTAATCTCCAGTTTCTTCTTTGTTTTTTTCATTTTTTTTTTCAAATCTATAATTGGTCTACATTCGCTTCTTTTTGTTACTATGGAGGAACGAGGATTGTCCTATATGGTTGATTGAGATTAAAACTTTTCTAGGAAAAAGAATGTTGTACAATTAGTTTATTCCTATTTAATTCATAGATATTAGTTATTTGATAAGTAGAAGTTAACTATAATTTACTCAAGTGATGTATAATTAATCAACTTCGTCCATAATATTCTATTCCATAACCATATTGTCACAGATCAATGAACAAATCATAAAAACAAATCGAATTGACTCGGAATCCAAATATGTTAGTTACATTTAAATTTTTATCCTATTTATACAGTATTCCTATTCATGTTATAAAGAATTAGACTAACCAAACTTAGTATTATAGGTGGATTTCTTTAAGTATGTGCTTAGAGTAACTGGATTCGATTTTGGAATTCCATGAATGCACCTGCTGTATTGTTTCTTCAAATTCAATTGTTCTACTTTTCTCCAACAGGAAACCAAGGCACTACATGAAAATTTATTAACATCTTTCTAAGCCTTCGTATGCAGTTCACAGTGTAGATAACGAACTTGAAGACAAGGCGGAGATAAAAGCAGTTCTCCAAACAACACTTGCTCTATGCTCATCCATCTATGTAGTGACAGGCCTTTTTTGCTTCCTTCTATTTGGTGACTCAACTTTTGATGATGTACTAGCAAACTTCGATACTGATCTTGGCATTCCTTACAGTTCCCTCTTAAATGATATTATCCGTGTCAGCTATGGACTGCATCTCATGTTGGTTTTTCCCCTTTGCTTCTATCCATTGCGGCTCAATTTGGACGGCCTCCTTTTTCCCTCAGCCAGGCCTTTAGCTTTGTCCAATATGAGGTTTGTGCTGATCACTATTGGCCCCACCATTCTTATCTTTCTGGGTGCAAATTTTATACCAAGCATTTGGGATGCCTTCCAGTTCACTGGATCAACTTCTGCAGTTTGTCTTGGTTTCATATTTCCTGCTTCCATAACTCTTAGGTGAGTTGTTGATTTTCATTGCAATTACTGGATATATCAATCTGGGTTTTCGTCCTATTTATGTAAATGAAGCAAATCAGCAAGTACTCTGCAGAAAAGCTATGATATTCTCCATTAATGCTTAAGGGAGTAATTTTGAAATTGGGAAGTATAAAATAACTTTTTGTTACTTTCAATTATCATTGAACTGTTATGTTAAAGCACTTAACTGGTGTTTTATAACCTTCTTTTGGTGTTTCAGGGATCAGCACAACATTGCAACGAAGAAGGACAAGATCTTGGGCATAATCATGATTATCCTGGCCGTGTTGTCAAGCTTGGTTGCAATATACAGTGATGTGTGTGTTCAGTTCAAAAAAAGTAAATATACCATCTGGTGAATTATGAATACAATTCCTATCTGTCTACTCAAATGAACCTAAAGGTATGAAAAAGTTTCCGAGATAATTGATCTGCTTGGCAATAGCTATCTGGTAAAAATCTAGTTTTCTTAGTTGAAATTTTGTTTCAGAATTTTATTAGCTGGGCTGGAAAGAAATTTATGGAGAAGCAAGTAAAGATGTTGATTTCTTATCATGGTCTTTTCCCTTTTCCTCTTTTGATGTCACTTATGGCACCTGCTAGTTATTCGTGAGAAACTCTGAAGATAAAGATTGTAAATGTTTTTGCTACATCATTCCAAGTTGATACTGCGATTTTTCTGGGACAAAAATAATGAAGTGACTATAAGTTTTGCCTTTGCTGAGAATGTCGAAAACAGTTTAATTTATACACATGATAGTAACTTCTATGTGTTGGTTTTCATGTAATCATACATTTTGAGCAGATAACAAATTTGTCTTTTGCTCAATGAATCGAATGGTGGGTGAGTTAGTCTCTTCTGATAAAAATAAAGATCGTTAGTAACAAGGGTATTGAAAGGGTAATTCTAAACATAACCAAATAATTGAAAGAATACAAGAAATTTATTACTAGTGTGGTGTATGTCGATGTTCTAATGATATAATACGACAGAGTAAGTTAGTTGTATATACTGACTTATTTATTATCGGACGTACACATAATTTTAAAAATTTTACTTGTTAATGTAATTTGCTTTTCTAATATAATAAAATGAGATATAAATCAAAATGCATCTACTATATAATCAGACTAATAATTTCAAAATCTAAATCGTAAAGTTGATTCGTGATATGATATTATTAATTTTACAAAAATCAATTATACATATATATATATATATATATGTGTATTTAATGTCAGAATTGGGTTGTCATAAGGTATGGTACTTAATCTACATGCTCAATTTGTTGCATGAGATCAAATTTGGTTGAGAATTCAAAGGACTGACAATGAAACTAAATATGAAGAAAAAGCATAGGGAATGAGACAGAATCCCAGATAAATGCAAGTCATTCTCATCAACTATTGATTATCAATCAACTTCGTCTTCTCCAGCTCTCCTCTATACCCTAAAAAAAAAAAAAAAAACAAGACCCTTTGAATTCACCATACAGGAGCCCTAAAAGAGTCAGATCAAGTTGCCCAGATGCCGACATAAATAAATAGACAACCAAATTGGGCTCATGGGTCCATCTATTCACAAAAGCATCATGTGATTTATGTGGATTCAGTCACCACCACCTACTTATGATTATTTTTAATGGATCACACCCACTGGGTTCAAGTTCAGACACAAGATTTTTGTCCCTCTTATCTTACATATTATAATATGTGCATTCTTAATAATTGAAGAGAGAGAGTCTGGGTGGCTCAGATTTGATAAATAATAATTATTATTATTTCATTTCTTTTGGCAAGACCCACCCGTGACAGGCACACTTTAACCATAGCCTCACGTTTAAATTAGATTTATGGAAGTTTTGAGTCTGTAAAATACTCTGGGGAGAGATTTTGATTGACTCATTG